TGATGAACATGCTGTTTGTATTGTTTTAGGAAACCAGGCTGTTTTGTGAATAAAACGAATGCATGTTTGTGTCACGAAGCACCGCTGGCTTTTTGCTGTATGGTTTGGGGGGCTATTGCTGGGCAGGGATTGTCTGGGATCACCTTGGGAAGGAAGAGTGATCACACAGGGATATTTAGAGTGGGGATCTCTTGGGAATTGAGGTCCTCCAGATCCACAAGGGGGGAGCAGCCAACCTGGCTGACAGGATGCAAATGCTATTAAAACCCTTTTCTCATTTGCCCGGAGAATACTGACCGGCAGTGCTTGCGGCTGCAGCATTTACCCCCAGAAAACTCGCAGATCACAGTCCTAACCTTACTCCCAAAGTTCAGCCACGAAATATCTCGCTTTTATTATTATTTTCACATTGCTCATGTATATCGATAATCTCTGGAAACAAATGACATGATTCTATTTATAGCATTCTGTTTTTAGTAGTTCGCTGAAAATGTCAAATCCTAGAAAACGTAGCATTCCTACGCATGATGTTAAATGAACACTGGCAGCAAGCTGCACTTTTTTTTTCTAAACGAGAAAAGGGTTAATTGGAAGTGGCTGGTACTAGAGCACCTCATCTGCCTGATTATACCCACTATCTTAGAACCTTCACTCACCTGGGGCCACCTTCTCTATTCACCTAAAATCAGTAGGGCCTGATCAGTGCAAAGCAGCCAGCACCGAGGGTGGGGCCTGAGCTCCAGTCCAGGTTATTTTCTTATTTGCAGAGATCTAGTGCTCCTTCAGCTACTGAGGTGAGTCCCCAGGGAGCAGTTTTAGCATAGGCTTGTGGGGACAGGGCTGTGCCCAGCACACACACAGACCCCTCCACATACACCTCTTCAAGCCTGTGGGCTGCTGGATTGTGGCCTAGGTGTGTCCCTAGGTGTGTCTCTTGTAGGGCTGTCCCCACACCCGAAAGTTTTTTGAGACCTCAGAGGCCAGATGGCTGGGGAAATCACCACAGAGCCACATGGTCCAGGCCAGGGCAACCTGAACAGGAAGAGGTGGCAGCTGCAAACCACCACCACCCCCACCCCCGCACCCCCACACATCATAGGCTGGCCTGCAGGATGAGGCCTGTCCTCCACTGGGAGGGAGGGAGGCAGCCTTCCCACCCGGCCACTTTGAGCCTGGCTGAGTTGGAGGCTAGACTTGAAGAAAGACTTCCTGATGATGTTGGGCCTGGCTCTAGGTGGATAGGGGCTTTCGAGATGAGGGAAGAAGCAACTTCTGAAGCTGAGTGGGCAGTGAGGTGGGGAAGATGGGCCATCTCTGCCATTGTTACTGGGAGGAGAAAAAGCAGCCATGTTGGGAGGGGGCTCTGACCCTCAACCCCTTTCCATGTGTCACAGGCTCCTTTCCATCACCAGGAGCTCAGCAGCCTGGCCTGGCACAGCGGGGGCAGGCGGGGGCGGTGGGAGGCAGCTTTCAACTCCATCTCTGCCTGGGAAAAATTTCCTTTCATGTGGCTGCCTGTGATCTCTCCAGGCGGCTCTGCCGAAGGGGGGCGTCCAGCTGGGAGTAAGGGGAGGTATTGCAGCCGAGGGGCACCCTCAGCCCCTGCACAAGGCAAACTGCAGCACCTCAGAACCTCGAGGGGGCAGAGAGGGCCCTTCTTGGGGGTGTGGAGGTGAGAAGCCTGGTCAGCGGGGGATACTAGGGCAGGAGGCCCCTGCCTACCCCCACCTGGCTGCTGGCAGCACACGGGCTGCAGATGGCCTCAGCCAGCCCTCATTGGCATGCCTACAGGTGTGGGGTGGACAGCTCCGGTGCCAGCCCCAAAGGGGGGGCTGCCATGACTCAGCCGGTCTGTACTTTGTGGTGTGCCAACTTAAGCCCAGCCATGGCTCCTGGGCCCACCCCCCTAACACAAAAAGCCCTAATCTGGAGGCCTATCACCTCTTCTAGCGTCAGCCTCTTGTACTCTGCTTCGTGAAAGTGGTAGCCAGTCTCTCTGGAGGAGGCCCAGGCAGGGGTGGGGACAGCTGTGAGGCTGAACACATGAGGTGACCTCAGTTGCCTCATCTGGGAAACGGGGACAATAATAGTCTCTCTCCCATAAAGTTGCCTGAGGATGAAATGAGATCACTCTGGGGAAGGTCCTGGCTCATCTTAAGCACTCGGTCAATGGCAGCTGGCATTGCTATTTTAAAACTTCACCTAAATCTCACCAAGATGTCCCTCACCTTCCGCCCAGGGTACGTGTCTTTTCTAAAACTGGCCACCCCATCTCCCACCTCTCTGCAGAGTGGCCTAGCTGCTGCCCCTTCCCCAGCAGGCCCCAGCCCTGTCTGTCTGCCTGTTTTTCTGGCTCACTGTCTCTGAATCTCTGTCTTGATGGTCTCTGTTGGTCTCTGACTCTCTTTTGTGTCTCTGAGTCTCCATGTCTCTCATGTCTCTACATCTCTCTATATCTCCATTTATCTTGCATCTCTGTGTCTTTCTGTTGCAGGCGCACCCCTGCTGCTCTTCTGTCTGACAGAGAAGTACTTAGAGGCGGGCTCCCCTGTGGAGTTGTATGCCCAATTCCCCTCCCCAGGGGGTGCCCTAAGCTCTGCTTTGTTGCAGTTAGGAGCCTGACCTTCTGGTGACACAGGAGCCTTCACCCTAAACACTCCATACCCGCACCTGGGTTGCAGGGAGCGGTTTGAGAGGCTGGGGGTACATATGGGCTAGAGATAAACCTAGCCTGCATGCAACTCTGCGTGTGTGTGTGTGTGAGAGAGAGAGAGAGAGAGATGCTTCAAGGCCTTGACAACCGTGTAAGGCCTTGTGCAACAATGTGGCTATGTGTGACACTGAGTGACATTATGAAAATAGGTCTGTGACAGTGTGTGGTAGACTATAATGTGAGACCTCCTGTGGCCATGTGTTAGTATATGATGTCAGCAGCCACACTTTGGGATATTCTGTGACAATGCATGTATAATCCCGTGATATTTTACAGTTCTGTAACAGACTCAGGTGATACCAGGTTGTACAACCAAATGCATGACATTGGATATGCAACATTGATACTGTACAGCACGCATGACCCTGTGACAGACACTGGATGATTCTGTGTGCTTTGTGACATTGTGTCTATGAGACCATCATGGGTGTGGTCCTAGGACTGAGAACAGGAATTCCTTGCGATTATGTGATGCTGGCTTGTGACCATTCTGTGACCCTGTGACACTGCCCATATAACCCTGGGTGTGTGCTCATGACATTGTCGGTGTGCACCTGTGATCTTTTCAATGATGCCGACACTATGTGCCCCGTGTGTCTTTGTCTACAGCATTTCCTGGGTCTCTTCCCTGACAGCCATGCAGCTCCGGGGACAGAGTCGGGGCCCTGGCAGCTCCTCTTACCCCCAGCCTGATCCTGAGGCCCTGTCTACGTGGGGGAGCTGGCGTGGGGGCAGCAGGCGCTGTTCCCACAGCTGCCACAGCCCTTCTCCAGTCCCACCACCAAGGGCTTCAGCTCCACAGACTATCCTGGCAACCCTAGCCTCTTTGTTCTCTGCAGTTGCAAATGGCCTCCCCGATCCCAGCCTGCTCAGAGCTGCCTAGTGCCCCCCTGCTCCGAATAGCAGTCCCTCACAACTTGGACTAGGGCCCCTGTCTCATGTCCTGAGCCTGACTCAACACTCCAGACCGGGCCTTTGACCCTCTGCTATGAGCTTGCTGTCGTCTGTCATGTCATGCAGGAAGAAGGAACCAGGACAGCTTCCATAGTATACTGGGTGATTGTGGTCCAGGAGCTAAGCTCTCTGTGGGTACTTCCCCTTGGCCCCAAGGCTAGTAAGTAGGAGGCTGTCTTCAGTCTGGGATGGTTTCAATTTGTCATGTTAGTTAGCTTCTCTGGCTCCAGAAAGTCATCAGGATAGGGATTATTACCTATTTTACAGATAAGAAACTGAAGCCCAAAGAGAGTATGTGACAGGTCCAAGTCACAGAGCAAGATGGTAGCAGGGTCCTAATTAGAACTCAGCTCTTGGCTGCCAGACCCCTGCACCAGGCTGCTTTGGAAAGACCAACTGCCTCGATGGAAGGGAAAGGGAGTCTGAGAGTCTGGCTAAATGGGTCCTCCTCACTTCTTGATCACCATGTGTCAAAGTCAGACTGTGTGTATGTGTATGCCCTTGCTGGATGACCTTGGCCAAATGCCCTTGTCTCTCTGTTCCCAAGAAAGGCAACATAACCAGAGGTTGTGGAGTGGGACACTTGGCAGGGTGCTTTGCGAACAACAAGGTCACCTCACAGTGCCA